CCCCAAAACCCCAAAACCCCAAAACCCCAAAACCCCTAAAATTCCATAAAATATTTAAAACACCTCTATGTCCAAATCATCCCAAACCCTGCTCACTAAAGAGACTATCCTCACAGGTCGGCTTCTAGCCAGCATGATCCTTAAATTCCGAGACAAGCGTTCTGTCGTCAGAATCAGTAAGACCAAAAGCGTGCTTAAGGAATACTCCATGAAAGGCACTAATTTCAATCTGAAGGTAATCTCTTCGAGGCATTTAATGCCTAATTAGAGCCTGGTGGGCTCAACTTAGAATATAGATGTACCAGTTGAAGAAAATATGAAAAATAGCTAAGAACCTGGACATAAAAAGACTTGTGCTCAAGTTCCCACTCAAGGGTCCTTGATATCAGAAGATATTCTCAAGGTTTTTAGAGAGTAGTTCTATTAGGAGCATCCAGGATCTGGCCTGAAATGTAAGACCTGGTTTATCTGTAGGTATAGAGAACACACAGTATAATATAGGGTTCATTGACGATAAGTTTCATTACTTCGTCAACCTCATGAGTAAGGTCAGAGGGACAATACGTCTTAAGAATTTGATAATTAAGAGAAAACAACTAGAAGCTATTCTAGCCAGCCTCTCAAGCTGTACCAAAATAGAGTTTACCAACTGTGAGTTAGGAGTTGATGCATCCTCATCTGAACGGATAAGAGTATCTGGTTATGTATCATCACCACTGAGAACGATCAAGTTTACATATTGCACAAAGTAGCTAGCTGAGTTCATACTTTAGCCTCAACACAAGACTCTGTTTAAGCAAAGATGATTTTAAGGTTTTGCTCTCAGGACTAGTTAAAAGGAATTACAATGGGCCATCCCAGAGTCAAAGTGAACAAGCAATCACTTTATGCTATAAGGATCTTAACAAGGTGAAAATTGTAGAATGAGGGATCACTAGGGAAAAAGGAAAAGATCTTTATGAAGAGCTAAATTCTCCTTTTCTTACAATTTCAGGAGTTTACTTTCAGCAAAAATGGAAATTCTGAGAAAAATCCTCATGATTTTTTATTTAAAAACCATATTAAAAACCTAACTCGAACTTTCTTGGAGCTCTAAATCATCAAATCTCCTCCAAATCCCTCCTAGATCAATACAAATCTTACTTCTTCAATATTCTAATCCTTCAATTCAATTTCTAATTCTTCAAAAGGGGTTTTGGGGTTTTGGGGTTTTGGGGTTTTGGGG